GTGTCAATAAAAAAAAAAAAATTCCCAAGCCATGGCAAATTCCCTAAGCTATTTTCTCACAATTCAGGTTTAGAGCGATTGCTCTGAAAGGTGCAGGACTCAAGACCAGGAAGTCGTCTTCTTTCCGGTGAGAAACTAACCCCTCCTCGTTTTTCTTTAGCTGAAAGAAAGGCTCCCCATTTTTGCCAAAACACTCAAGACAGTTCTCTTATAAATAGAGAAATTCTGGCTTTCAAGTAAGATTTTCTGGAAGGGTCAATTCTGTTCTACCAAGTGATTGAAGCTTAAATAGAAAAGATGCTCATCAAACTGCTTCCAAGAAAAGCACCGTCCACGTTTAAGCTCCTCTGAGAGGCACATTTTGTTCACAAGTGACACAGTTCCCACGAGGCATTGTCATGCAACTGTGTTGACAATGAAAGGAAGCACAATCACGTTTGCACAGATAAGGAGGAGCCTCAAAGGACCGAGAACTCTGCAAGGTGCGCGTTAAGTCAGACACTGCCCTGCAGAAGGCATGAGCTGACCTGAAATTTCCATGAAACAAGGTCAGACGGTTTACCCAGCAGCCCCGCAGCTCTCCTGAGCTGTTGCTGCAGCAACACAAATGGCATCAATATCGGTTCATTTATGCAGCAAACTCCCTCGAGTCTCTAGTAATTTTAGACAAATAATGGATAACACAAAAATAAACCAAATACGTAGCTGACAAAGAATCGATACAAAACTCTACATTTTACCCACAAATTCTTTCTCAGTTTTCATGGTCTTTACCCAGGCACTAAGACTTGGAGGTCAGTCTCACGTTAGCCTCAACTACCATGTCCCATATTCTCTCTGTGTGCTGCTCCTCTTCATCAGTGTGATGTGTTCTCACTGCCAGGGGCCACATCTGAACCCTTGCGTTCTCGGACCATCTCTCAATCAGGCTTCCGCAACACACTCCTTCACAGTTGACCGCTGCTATGTTCATATCATCACATGTCCATCTCCCTGCCAACCTGAGACTCTTCTTTAGTCCCCTCCTGTCTGCTAGTCCTACCCATTTGTGAACAGTGTGTCTGAGTTCCCTATTTACTGGGCCCAGGCCACCTCTCAGAGGAGTCACACCGTCTACAGAAAAGAGCCTGGTTCTGGTGTTGGACTATCTCAGGGTTAATCCCAGCTCTGCCATTTACTTCTTCAGAGGCTCTGAGCCTGTTCCTTCAGCTCTTGGTTTTCAGTAAACTCATTTGAAGAATGGGAGGAATAAAATCAATGTTGGGTGGTTATATGAAAATTAGACATCATCTCTACAGTACCATGCTGGTTCCTCTCACTCATACTATCCAGCCTTCATTCACATTTGACCTCTGACTCAGATGCTGACCCAATCCCCATCTTCTACTCCCAAAAGCGTCAAAGAAGGTGTTAAGCAAGGTTGGAAACAGCTGTGTGGGATATATTACAGTACAGGGATCCTTTCTAGAAAACCCCAAATTTAATTGCATTTTTTTAGCATAGAAGTGGAAATCCTATTCCTGAGAAATTATTTCCTGTCAAGAGAAATACTTGAATAAGATCTCAATTCTCAGAATCCCCTAAGCATAGCAAGTATCAATGATTCATCCTTCTCATTCACTTGAGAAATCAACAAATATTAATCAAGCACTTATTAAACGCCAGACATTAAAATACTAAAAATAAAAAACCTATGATCTTGCTATGTAGACATAATGATGAAATAATTATGAAAGACAGGAGTCTGACATACATTCAAAAAGAAGGATGTGTGTGACAATCAAACTACTATAAAATAATATAAAAGGAAGAAGACTGAGTAGGTAAGTTTAGCTCAGGGGATATGGTAAATCAGAAAATGTGCTATCAAATTCAAATGTGACCTTACGAAGAGGGGGAGGCTTGCTGCAATGGGCAGGAGAAAAGACTCCTGGGAACAGGGACAGCCTTTCTGAGCAGGGAATCTGTCTAGACAAAGGTGCACAGAGAGGTGGAACACATCAATAGGAATCAAATCTCCATCACCAAGCTTAGGTTGGGTTAAGATGGGGAGTAGTGAGAAGAAAGAGAGAGTACCAGTGAAGATGATGCCCTGTGCCAGGGGGTGGGTTTGAGCATTATCCACAGGGCACAGGAAAGTGAGAGGGTAGTATCCTAGTCCAGATTTTTCACTTGCTGAGATTTCATGGCTTATGTATGGTCCTGTAAGAAGCGGCATGAAGCTGCTTGTGCTGGAACCTTCCAAACCAAGGAAATGCTACGTGAGAAATTACTTCCTAAGGAAGTCTCGGTAGTGGTGCTGGGAGAAGCAACTTGAGCAGAAATGAGGCGAGCCATTTACCGGGTATCAACAACAGGCAGGCAAAGAGGAGAGGATGGCAAAGTCCTCAGGCAATACTGAGGGCAACAGGGATGAGCAAAGGGGTCTAAGATGATAGCTAGTACATTCACAGAGGAATTGCCCCTTCTGGAGAGGTTCTCTCAGTCTCCTTCTGGAAGCAATGGAATGCAATGGTATCATTTATCTGATCCTCAGGAAGTTTCAGGATGGCATGTCAATCAGTATGGACTTAGGAATCAAAGCAGCCTGAGTGTGAAGCACTTTTCGTCCTTCATGTATGACTTGGGAGGCTTACTGTGAGTCTCAATCTTTCCAGCTTTTAAAGCATGCTTCAAAGGTCTGAGGCCCTCTGTCTCTGTCTATTGTCTCTGTCTGTCTCTGTCTCTAGCTCCCTCCAGAGATTGAATCCTGAACCTCATACATGCTAGGCAAGCACTCTACCACCAAGCTATGCCCTCCAACTTTTTATGTTTCTTTTTCTTTTTGAGACAGTGATTCACTAAGTTGACAAGACTGTCTTTGAACTCACTCTATAGCCCAGGAAGGTTTTGAAACTGCAATCTTCGGCCTCAGCCTCCTGAGTGGCTAAGACTATAAGCCTGTGCCGACATACCCAGCTAGAGGTTGTTTTGAAGAATAGGTAAGAACCTGTGTGCAGAGTACCTAGAACATTCCTTAGCATACAACAAATGTTCTATGTTCTATGAGATAGGCCATCTTGCTATACACAAATCAGGAAGAACAAGGGATGGAGAAAGGAGAAGAAATCAGTCAACCCTTAGGCACCTTAGCTCTTAAATCTAAATTCTTGAAGTAGAGACAGTAAGTGCATATTTTTCTGTGAGGGCGTGTTTGACTGTTACTTTGCAGTTGGTATTAACACAGATAGAAGGAATATGACTGCTAAATAAATCTTCCTTGAGGTCTACCCACAACAAACATACAATTAGGATGTCAGGAATGAGGGTGGGAAAGAGAAAGCAAAGAAAAAGACATGAGAAGTCATCTGTGGGAGACTCTTCCTTTTGTGGACAAAAGTTATCCTCTACTTCCCTGCCCAACCAAGCTTATTCTCAGACTGATGCTACTAATTTACTCTTCTAAAATACACGACCAGCATCCTGAAGCTAACTGTCTGTCTCTGATGAAAGCACACAGGGATGGGGAGCCTACAGGCATCTAAGACTCCACCCTTTCCTCTCTCTAGGCCAAGTCAACATGGCCGCTCCATCCAGAGGAGGGAGATTCCTGATGCCTAAAACTAGGAAGATCTGATGCCTAAAAGTAACCGGATCCATTCTCCTAAGGGGAAGAGAAGCTGGAGAAGCCAAATGAGCCAAATGGCAATTGTGTGACTCCAGGAACTTCTTTCCCATTATACCAAGACAGGGACAGCACCTTCTGGCCAAATGAGGAGATGAGTGACTGCTTAATTGTGAGCCCTGTTGCATCCCGTAGATGTATCATGTCCAACAATACCCAGTCTATCCTACAGGATCAAGAAATTCCTCAGGACTGTTTATAGGGTAACTCAGACCAGCTCAACTTAAGAAAGATACAGGTAACAATTACCAGTGATAACTGCCAACATGCCATAGCCTACAACAATAAAAAATGGAAGCTGGTGAGGTGGCTCAGCTGATGAGGTGCTTGTTGCCATGGCTGACCACTTGAATTAGAACACAGGAACCCACACGATGAAATAAAAGAAGCAATTCCTCTTGTAAGTTGTACTCTGACTTCCACACATGAGTGGTGACACATATATACCCAAACACACACACATACAATGGATAAATAAATGTAATTCAATAATTAAAAATAAAATAACAGAAAACACGAAGTACTTAAATCAGCATTAACTCCCCTTAAGGAAGCTGTGTTTGTTTGGGAAACCACCCAGCCCCAGGTTGGCTTAATTTAGTACTATTCCTTTAAATGATTAAACAAATCGTCTCTATTGGTCCTTTTTCCAGCACAAAGGGACCCCAGTTCTCCCCAAACCTGCAGTGGATTTCCATTTCCCCAGAGTTAGCAACAGACTTCTATCTGCAAAGCTCTACAGATTATTTTCAACAACACCGATGTCCCTCTCAAAGTATCTCCAGCCACAAAAGACAATACGATAATTTAATTTCCAGCTCTTTTTTCCACAGTCAAACCATGGAGCTGACCACAGCAGAGTGTGCCCATCAAAGGACAACATCACCAACTACCTCAGTGAGTGTTGTCCTCACAGTGTCTATTTAATGTCATCATGGACCAATGTCACCAGTCCCACACGAGGCTGGTATACAGGGTTAGCAATCCCAAACCAACCCACCTGGCAAAGTTCAGGAGGAGAGGAGGCAGTGGGAGAAGGGATAAATAGCATGTCTCTGAACTGATGGATTTGGGCCCTCGGTAGAGGGCAACTTTTAATAGGACCTTAGCTAGGCAAAATTCCCATAGCGATCACTATCCAGACAGATCCTGAAACAACTAGGATCTCACAGAACAAATGACATCAGAAGAACCCAAACAGCTTCTTCCTTAAGCAAGGATATAATTGGGGTCCCTTTTCTTCCTCTCCAATCAGAATAGTAAAGCCAGATGGCTGCTTCTCCGAGCAGCTCAGCTCGCTAACCTGCATAGCTCCTGGAGCAGAAATGAGCCCTCAATCAAATCTGCTGGTTTGCTCTGCTCCAACTCCCGGAGATCAGGATCAACTTCCCCAGAAGGATCGCCTGCCCTGTGCGCTAGAGGCCACTCTGGTAAAGAGGCTGGGGCAGGAGGAGGGACCACTCACCATTTGGTTGCTGTACCAGTACAGCGACGACCCCTTCAGTACCACCCAGAACTTTTTCCATTTGTTGCTTAGAAAAGTTCCCTTTTCCTTTTTCTTGTACAGCCAACCCTGGCAGTCAGCATGGCCCAGATCTTTACACGATATCCTCCTCCGACTCATGGTGAAAAAACCTGCAAAGGTGATACGAACAGGTAAGTGTGACCCGAGCTCAGGGGACAAAACAAAAGGCAATGGTTAGTTGTTTGCACGGCAATGGTTGCATGTTTACATTCATGCAAAGTAAGTGTAAAAGAAGAAAGGAAGGAAGGAAGGAAGGAAGAAAGAAAGAAGGAAAGACTCCTATGTATCTGTTTTATTTTTAAACATTCATTTAGTGCCTAGAATACCCAGGCAAAGAAGCAGTGAGACTTCTATGCAAGCATGGGTCGGAAAACCTTAGTCAAAAAGAGTAAGTTGAAAACGGGAGACTCTCTGGGCTTGCTGGCACATTGTGGCAGACACACGGGTCCTTCCCATAGTAACAGCGGCAGTTATGCAACAGACACGGAAGGGTTAAAACCCACTTAGGACACCAGGGACTTCCTGGCTCTGTCAGTTTCTCTAAGCTCTGAGGACAAAGCACGAGGGACCGGTCCAAATGAACAGCATGTCATTCTTTCTTAAAATCAATCCCAAAGCAGCCAAAAATTTTAATCTGCCGTCCATCTCCTGATATTAAATTCAGACAGACAAGACTCTGATCACTCCCCCCCCCCCCCCCGAAGAAGGCATCCAGTAGAAAGGAAGAAAAAATAAAAAATTCACACTCACAGGCAGGAGAAAGGGATAAAGGAACAAAAGGGATCTAATTACCTTGAGTTTTCTTCCTCGGCTTCTGACGCAAGGGAACCTGCTGGAGATGCAGGAAGGAAAGAACAGAGGCAATTTCTGATTGTGTTGTAACATTTGTAAAGAGAGAAGGAGGGAGGGGGTGGCAGTGTTTATGAGCTGGGTGGATTCTAAAAAAAAAAAAAAAAAAAAAAAAAAGAAAAAGAAAAGAAAGAAAGAAAGAAACTCTCCAAGCAGAGCTCAAGGGGAGCTAGGAGCTGAGGCACAGAATGTGCTAATTAGAATCGATGTGCATTGAGTGAACCTGGAAAAAGGTAACAGGGCATTTATCTGTCAAGCTTCCTGTTTCCTCCCACAAGCAATTCTCGCTACTACTTGGGTTAGTGAGGGCACGCACCGTGCTTGATGAAGTTTTAGAAAATCATGAAATACTTTACCTATACATTTTTGTGAAAGAAGAAACAATATTTCTTTTCTCTCTTGATTTCTAAATAATTGTTTCTATCTCAAGCTGTTAAATGCTCACATCAGACTAATTTCATGGAGGGTTCTAGCTACACCATGAAAATTAAACAGCCTGGGAAAAGAAATTCCTTATCTCTTCTTGTGTGACCTCAGGGATTCTAAGCCTCCTGATGGGGAATTTCTTATTTGTAGCCATATCTCATTCTATCTTTATCTCTGAATATTTCTCATGTTTTATAGACAATAAATATTCAAATATTCAAATCAGACATGATGATATATATAAAATACACACATTTTCCACAACATATTTTCACCGTCATGTAAAATCAGATTCCCAGACAAAACTGGAAAACTCAAAGAAAAAATATGCTTACAAATGTCTCTCTCTGTTTTCTCTCCTCTCTCTTCTCTCTCTCTCTCTCTCTCTCTCTCTCTCTCTCTTTCTCCTGTCTCTCTCTCTGCTGCAAATATTACAGAGAACTTTAGCTTTAAAAATTTTTATTTTTCTCTACAGCATCTAAGGTTTAGATCACTTTCATTTATTGTTAGCAAGCAGAGACTTTAACATTTGAACATGCAATGAAAGTAGCCCTAACAGCTGGTAGGTAATCTCAGGAATTCTATGGTACTCTAGATGCAGCCCGCTAGTAGTCCACATCTCTAACTACTGATGTATATGTAATTCTGCCGTATGTTTGGTCAGAGAATACGATCTACAGTAGGATAGAATTTTTAAAGCCACAGGTCCAGAATTAACAAGGAGCTATATACCCAAAAAAGTCACTCTAGACCTACCTCTTCATTTGCAAAATCAAGAGACTTACAGAAAATCCTCAGGAGGCTGAGACCGGAGGATTCTCGCTTGACTAAGGGCAGAATGGACTATAGAGCAATATGTGTGTGTGCATGTGTGCACATATGTGGATATATACATATATGTGTGTGTGTATATGTATATATATGTGTATATATGGAATTCTAATTCCATAAGGCTCAAGGAGAGCTGCCAAGATTTATTTGGGGAGAAAATCATATTTCTTTGAATAATCACATATCAGTGCATCTTGGAAATATGAAAAGATAAGCAAACATTCAATGACGAAAACTCCCCATTGTAGAGTAAGCATGACTTGTGTTTCCCTCAGCGGAGAGGATAGAGTTAAGGTTAAATTGTGTTTCTTCAGGGATACAAAACCAGTGAAATCCTGACCTGGCTTTTTATTTTATGATCAACTTTTCTATCCTTGGATCATTGATTGATCTCTTTCAGGATAATGTTTAAGCAAACTCAATATGTGTCAATCATGACACGCTAGTTAAGTCTCAACATTATCATATTAAGGGGCTCATCTCCCTCCATTTCCCAAATATTTTCCACACTGCCAGCTCCTTGGTCTAAGATCCAGGCTGTTCTTTAGTCTCTGGGCTTTTTTTTTTTCTTTGTATGCCAAAATCCTGAGATCAGTAAACCCAATTAGCACCTACTGGCTATGTAATGCCAGTCAAATTGAGAGCTAGGGTTAAGATAAAGTGAGTAAAGGTTATATGGTAAGGTTTGGGAAATCTAGGGTCCCAAAGAGCAATGCTGTAACTGAGGACCAGGGAGGGAAGAAAGCAGAGGTGTCCAAGCTTATTCCTAGAAGGCTGGAGCCCCAGGTAAACAAGATGAAACTGCATCACTTCAAACAACAGCTCTTAAAAAAGAACAACAAAATGGGAACCAATGCCTAGGGGTCAGCTATGCAGTTGTAGAAGGGAAGAGCAGAAGCAACTTCCATTCCGTGGCTCCTCAATCATGGAACAGGGAACTGAGCCTCTCCACTGGGAAGTTGTTATCTGTGTCCCCCCCCACACACACACACACACACTGCTAGCTCTTCGTCTCTGCCATCAAGCCATCAAGCCTACAGTGGCTTCCAGGTAAATAAATCCCCAAGTCAAAATGTGTCTTTATTTCTCCAAACACCAGCTGGATTCTTGCACCTAGCATGGGTTGAGAGTTAGGAATCCATATCAGGTCAAAACAGCCTCCACCCAGCAAAGTGTTCCATCCCTCCCAGCAAGCTCCTTGTGATTCAAGCCTGCCCTGATAGTCCTCCCACAAAGCAAACTGGCTGTTCAAGTGTTTTCCCCTAGCCAGAAGCAGGCTGCACATTAGAGAAATAACAAATTACCAAGGGTTTCGGTTTCACTTGATAGATGTGCGTTTGAAACCCCAACTGCTCTACAAGAAGGAATAAAAACAACCTCTGAAAAGATTACTGAGTCTAAGACACATTTTCCTCCTCACAACAGGAAGTGGAACCCATGAACTAGTCAGTTTCAAGACCTTCATGTGGCTTTCTCACTGAGTAGGTGAAAACATGAACAGCCGCTTGAGTGTTTTATGGGACGATTCCGACCGTCACGGACATTTAGAGTTAACTTAGATATTCCTCCCAACTTATTTTTTTCCTGTTTGAATGTTACAGATAAAACTGACCACTTACTTTAAAACTCTAAATTTTCCCTAAAATAGATCTAAAATTGGGGAGGAGGGTGGCAGAGAGATTCTCATTGGAAATGCATAGATAATTTTTATTAAAGAAAAGTGTACTTTGGCTTTGGGAAGATGGCTCAAATGTTTCATTTGAGGGCCAAGTAGAAGGCTCAATCAATAAAGTGCTTGCCATACAAGCATAAGGACCTCAGTTAGATGCCCAGAAACCAGGTTAACCAGGTATGGTGGTGTATTTATAATGTCAACTATAGGGAGGCAGAAACAGGCAGATCTCTGGAACTTGCTAAGCAGTCAGGTTAAGACTACTCAGCGAGTTTCAGTCCAATGCAAGACTCAAATAACAAGATGTATTCTTCCGGAGGAATACTACCTGAGGTTGACCTCTGACCTCTACCTACACATCTATGCACATATACATGCATACACACACATGCATGTTCAGTGATCCTGGTCACTGAATTATATAAAATTATATAGTGATACATTGATATTCTAGTTTCATGTCTGCTATTGTGGTAAAAACAACATGGTCAAAAGGAGCTTCAGGGAGAGGGGTGTGTTTGAACTTGTAATTCAAGTGTAAGCCATCACCGTGGAGGAGGTCGCAGTTGCAGGAGCATAAAGCAGTTGGTTGCATCACATCTACAGCCAAGAGTAGAAAGAAATAAGTGCAGACATGCTCACTTGCTTCCTTGTGCTCAGCACACTCTTCTACAGATCAGGAACCCAGCCTAGAGAATGGTGCTGTCCACGGTGGGCTGGGTTTTTCCACATCAGTTTACTTAAGGCAATCCCCCACATACATGCTCCAGGCCAGCCCTAAGTAGACAATCCCTGATTGAGATTCTCTTCCCAGATAATTACAGATTGTATTAAGTTGGCAGTTAAAGCTAAGCAATGAAGTAGACATGTGGTTCTTCATTTGCAGGCACACTGGCTTTCAGCATCTGCCAGTTTGGGTGGTATATTCCTTACCTGCCTGACAATATAAACTACCATTACTTACTAACTAAGTGACCAAAACCTTGGAGTTTCGGGTTCTGCACAAATACTTGACATTTCCACAAGTATTTTTCTATATTGTTGGAAAACTAAACTCAACTTTTTAGAAGGAATTGTAAGGCACTTGATCAGCAAAAACCTGTGATAATACACTTAAAACTGTGCTTAGCTTTTTCAGAACACTAACCACTTAGACATCATGCAATAGCAAAACATGGATGAAAAGCTCTCTCTGGTAGGGAACAATGGAGATGGGTAGTGGTTGTTTTAGCTGGGGTATGATTTCTTGGAAAAGCTAAAGAATGGCAAAAGACTTAACATTAGATAAGAACTCAGAGAAGCTGGGCAGCAGTGGTGCAAGCCTTTAATCCCAGTACTCGGGAGACAGAGGCAGGCGGATCTGTTTGAGTTTGAGGCCAGCCTGGTCTACAAGAGCTAGTTCAGGACAGGCTCCAAAAGCTACAGGGAAACCCTGTCTCAAAAAAACCAAAAAAAAAAAAAAAAAAAAAAAAAAAAAAGAACCCAGAGAAATACCATGGGAATACCCAGGGTCAAACTCAAGAAAAGAGTATCATGAAAAGGAGGGAGAAACTCCAGAGAAACGTTGGTCCAAGCCACCAAATTGTGTTGTTTTAAAGGGGAAGGTTTGTTGGAGCTTTTCTGTGTTATTATTTTTCTCGCCACCGTGACACACTATCTGATAAGAGGAACTTAACCGGGAGGGGTTATTTGGGCTCACACAGTTTCAGGAAATACATCATGAGGGAGAACATAGAGTACAACAGTTAGGTCTTAGGCAACAGGAGCTGAAGGCTGTCACTGCAGGCCAGGAAACAAAGATCTGTGACAGGAAGCAGCCCATCACCCTCGGGGTTAACCCCTAGCGGCCTACTGAGACTGGGGAGGTCTTGGGCCTCAAGAATTCTACAACCTCACCAAACTGTGACCAGATGGGGACCATGTGTTCAAGCATACAAGTCTGTGTGGGACTTTTCAGATTTAGACCAGCATGGAAATATTGGCTACATAGTCCTAATACTGTTCAGAGCTACAAGACACATTCCAGCAGGTTCCGGGATGAGTGTGAACCAAGGAAGGATACACAGCATTGATGACTACTGAAAAGAGGAGACAGGACAGTACCAGGTGAGCTGAAGGCTGTGACGGATAAAGCTACCTGCT